AGGGGATGGACACAGGGGATGGGCACAGAGGATGGACACGGGATGGGCATAGGGGATGGATACAGGGGATGGACACAGGGGATGGATACAGAGGATGGGCTCAGAGGACGGGCACAGGGGATGGACACAGGGGACGGGCACAGGGGAGGGGCACAGGGACGGGCACAGGGGAGGGGCACAGTTATGTGCGGCATTGCAATGAGAATGGCTCATGGTATTTTAAAGACTAAAACTTCAGCAACACTCTGACCCTTACATAACCCTAGTGCTCCAGATAAAGTAGACACATCCAAGTCTAGGAAACGCCCATGCTTGGTTTTAGCAACCTAAATGGTCAATACCTCTAGACACCAAAAGATAGGACAAAATTGCTCTCTGCTTTCCAAATAAAGACTATTCAAATGTGAAATCAGAAGTTTAATATGACACCATTAAATATATTTATATATCTCACACTGGAGGATTTCTTTTGAAACATAAGAAGTTAGAAATTACAAGTAGGTATATACTTCCTATATTCAGATAAATTCATTTCTATTAATTATTTAAATTCGAGATAGAAACAATTTTGGAAAGGAAACGATAGGTAATCAAAGCAGCGCTACATTAACTGTTTAAAGACACAGATGACATTTTGGAGTCTTCTCTCCACTCCTTGGCTCTCCCTCCCAGTCTGCCCTGTCAAGTGGAGTTTCTGTTGAGATGAAGGAGGGCGGAGACATCACGGAGGGGGCATCTCCTGCCTCGCTGCCACGTGATGTCTGCGGTGCACCCCAATACCCTCATTCCCTCTGGGACCTTATTGTTCTGGGTTTAACGAAGCAGATTTTCCTGTTTCTGGGGGGTGATGGCAGATCTGATGCTCACATGTTATTTTCGCAAATCCAGGTCACCTCTATGCACCCAGACAAGGGTTCCTTAAGCCACCCATGGTGTCCCGGGAGGCAGCGGGGCTGCCGTGTGCACCTCACTTTCTTACCAGGGGCTGTGATCCCACAGTGGAAGCAAACACCTGGCTTTCCCAGAAGGGACGTGTCCACAGCCTGCTCCGGGCAGTCCCTGGAGAAGACCACTGGTGCTGGTGGGGCTCGAGGGCCGGGGCGGGGGGAGTGCAGAGCTTGTTACATGCCCAGATTTGTTCTTCCTGATCTCAGTAATGTCACAGGACAGTATTCACTAACAGCAACCATTTTTGCAATGAAGAAATCAATATTTTAATGTTAAAAATGTGTCTCAGGGTTGGGTCTCATCTGTAAGTTTGGAAAACCGAGATGGTCATGGCCTCAGAACAGGTGCTCCTGGGGGAGCCGTGGGTCTTTCCTCGGGGTGAGATGTGTGGCAGGGCTGTCCCCAGGGCTCAGGGTAGAGTGTGGACACAGGGTGGTGAGGGCCCTGAGGTGCTGTGATGATTTTCTTATTTGCCCCAGAGGTATAGGCGCTAACAGTTCCACCCCCGTGGTGTCTCCAGCGACAGACCGATAGACCGTCTCGAGGACAAGTGTCAGACGTGACTTGTGCCCTCAGTGGTGCCCGTCCCTGCACGGCTAACCCCGGGCCAGAAAGTCTCACTCACAAGCGTGGACCATGCTCATCACTGCATCCTGACCATGACGTTTGTGGTTAAGGACGTGAATGCACGCTTCAAGAAAAAGTAATTTTTTTTTAAAGAAACTGGAGATAGATGAATGGATTTTCCCACAGATCTCTATTATTATTTGGTTAAACAGAAATGCTCATTTTAACTGCTAAAGTGTACTGACTATGGGAGTTTTAAGGACCCTATTTTTCTATGCAGTTACAACAGAAGACACAGAAGGTTTAACAGAAGGTTAAAGTCGTATCGGCATTCCCAGGGACGCGGTGGGCAGCGGCTCCTCCGAGGCAGCGGCCGCTCACTGGGGCAGGGCCTTGAGGATGGCGTTCACTTCCTCCGCCACCGCTGTCAGCGCAAACTCAAACTGCTCCTGCGGAGGGAGAGGACAGAGGACGTGGGTCAGAGCGTCCTTTCTACTCCAGGCTGCGCGTTTGTGGCTCTGCAGAAAGTGCTTAGGAGAGAAGGACGAGGCCCCGGTTCTGGTTCCGTCCTGAGGAGCGTCCCCTGTGCCTGAGAAGCCGCTGCAGCAGGGAGACCCATGCATGGGATCTCCTGTTCTGGGAGACGCAGCCAGTGCTGCTGCCCGAAGCCCAGAGTGCTCAGCCCCACCTAGCCTGGCACCTTTGGCCAGAACTGCCTCCTCACTCACTTGCTGCCTGAGGAGATGCCCAGCCAGCACCCTGGGGCCACCAGCCTGTGGGGAACCCACGGGAGAAAGAAGGGGTAGGGAGGGAGGAGGCCTCAGGTGTGGGGACCATGAGCCTCCTGAGGGCGAGACCAGGCGGCCGGACTCGCCTCTTCTCACTGGCAGAGGTGTGAGTGGCCAGCCCGTGTTACTCCTCAGCTTCCTCTCTAAAGCGGTCACCAGGCAGCTGCCAATTAACGCAGAGAATGCATGGGAAAGAATAAATTACACCAGCCCTTACGGTGAGAAGCTTGGGTGAGGGCAGCCTTATGGATGTCTTGATAATTCAAGTTACAGGGCAGCTCCCAGTCCAAAAATAATGATTGATTTCCAGTTTGAATGTTCATACATGAGAGAAACAGAACATAACTTGAAGTATCAGAAAGTCAAAGTAATGAAATGCTCACTTTGGGATAAAAAGACAGTTTCTGCTTTAATATTCCCTGACCTGACATCCAAGGAACCATCTTCTGGGCACTGATGAATACGGCAATACGGCCTTTTGCTTGTGTGGCCACCCAGGCTCCTAATGGACACTCTGGAGCCTGCTACTGAGGGAATCAGCGGGTGGGTTTCGGGAGACTTCCCAAGGCTGCTGTGGTCGCTGCCTCCGTGCAGGGCTGCAGAAACCACGCCCAGCATCTTCCTGTAACCCTCAGCAGGACCATCCCCACCCCCCAGAACCATGTGGACACCACACTGCATGAGCTTGGCCCAGGGCTGCACCAGGATGGCCACAAATGTCCCTCGTCCCCAACACTGACAGCTCAGTGACCTTGCTATGAGAGTTCGGGTCAAACGTGCACATATAGCCACAGACCCTTCTTGCTGCCCAACACATGGACTAAGGCTTGTGATGACTTGAAAAAAATTAAAGGTGACGTTTGAGAATCTGAATTTACGTGTCATATGTCTTCTTACCCCTTTAACACTTTGGAAATTTGGCTTGAGAACGAATGTTTATAGGGAAAATACGAAAGTGCAAAGATGTGAGTTGCTGTCTTATGGACCCCGCGTTGGGCTGGTGGGTTTGACAGGCAGGATGTGAGGGAGAAGCTGAGACATTCTCAGCAAAGAAGCATCTCTAAAGTGAACCAAAATGAAGTATGAGACCCACAGGAGATGGCCACGGCTCCTCCTGTGTGCCTGGCGGCCCATACCCCCACTGCCCAGGAGTGGCCAAGGCAGGATGCCCAAGAAGCCTTCAGGCCGGTCAGGTGTCCAGCCACCAGCCTGAGGCCACGCTGGACAGAGAATTGGCAGGAACTCCCTATCCAGGCTGGCCTGTGACCCCCGCAGGACATAGGTCTGCAGGTCAGAAGTCAAAAGAGTGACCATGGTCCTCAGATGCCAGCTGGGGCAGGACTCTGGAACTGGCAGAGGCTGGATAGGGCTGCTGGGCTCATATTTATACTCATGCTCAGATCTGTGCTTTGTCTGGCTCAAACAAAACTCTGGGGGGGATCTGTGTGAGCACAGACTGTCTCCATGATAATGTTATCACTCCCGAGTTTAGAGACAGCTGCAGGAAAGGTGGGTGTCTACATGCTGCTCCCCTCCACGGGCTCCCCAGAAACGTGGGGAAGTGCATCCCCCGGGGGCTGGGTCGGCCTCTCTGCTTCAGGCAAGCAGGCCAGCCCCTCCCTCACCTCTGACCGCAGAGCCCAAAGACTGTTAGGACTGGCATTGTGCATGTGTGTGCGCAGAGGCTGAGAGACACAGGCAGACAGAGAAAGACAGAGACAGAGGGACACAGACAGACTGTGAGCCAGAGACGAACAGAAACCAAGAGGCAGATGAGCGCATGCTCCACACATACACACACGCACGCGAGCACACGCGCACACACACACGCACGTGAGCGCACACACGCACGCACGCACGCACACACACACGCGCGCGAGCACAGAGACCGGGTGGTACCGATACGCACGATCCCACTGGGGTAGAGGGTTTTAACGAGCCCAGCTGAGTCTGGGTTTGGCAGCTGCACTGGGGTTTGCTGGCCCAGCCCAGGGAGGGCATGAGGGCATGAGGGCATGTATGAAACAGAGGTCCAGTCCCGAGGGTGGGGACCCAAGTCAGGGTGCCTGGGGCCGGGGTAGGGTATGGGTGAGGCCTCATGAAGGAGAAAAAGCAAACTCAGGGGAGGCAGGTGAAGAAGGAGGCGCTGGGCTCCCGTGTGCCGGTGCAGGACAGAACGCCTCCTGGTGTGGGGAAACTGGTCACCCGCTTTTACTTCCTGAGAGCTCTGGGGGTGAGGAAGAGCTGCTCACAGCAGACAGGCAGAGAAGGCAGTTGAACCACCTCCTGCTACTGTCTCCTCAGGAGCACGTGCCCGGTGCGAGTGTGCGGCTGCCGGGGGGCCTCCTGGTGCTCGCTTGTGCTGTGTCCACTGTTAGGTTTTGGTTGTCTGGCTGACTCCGTTCCATGGAGGCAAACAGCTAACCCGAGAATTGCTTTGGTAACACAAAAACAAGATGTTGCTGGTGGGTTCTGTTGGCATCCTGGGCCCCTGCTGTCTCCAGGCTCACCTCATTCCTTACTCATCTAGGGGCCCTGTGATTTGACTAAATTTGTTCAAATTAACAGACCATAGACTGTCTTCTGCTTGTACAAAAGAGTATTCAGATTGTTTGGCAATAATTTTCTATCTTTTTTGGGGAAGCTCAGTCTCATGGAGTAATATGGGGCAAAGCAGTCACAAAATAGGATGGAATGGGAATTTTAAGTGTTACAGCTGTGGAATTCCAGGCACAGGTTTCAATACACCTGCAAACACCTGAACTGAGGCAGAGAGTGAACTCCTGCAGGTAGTCAGGTGGAAAGGAAGTCAGGGATGAAGTTTGTGCCAAGAAGTCGGAGCTCTGGGTCACCGAATATTCTAGCTGACACCGCCATAGTGAGTGAGTTGTATTGTTCCGCCACTTTCCAATTAGAACGGAATGAACATGCCTGGATGACATTGCACACACTCCTTTGCCCTCTGAGCGGCCTCACAGCCCCTCAGCTCAGGAAGGGTCTCGAGACCACCCCCTGGGCCTCAGCACTCTGTGTGCAAGGAGGCCTATTCTGGCAAACCGAGCACAGACAACAGAGGGGCATGGTCTTCTCCTTCTGCTGTATTAGGCTTTTTTCTCCATTTTTTTTTGCAAGAAGATTTGCCGTCCCAAGGATGGTGTGGCCTCTATCCACGCCAAAGTCAGCCTGCATCTGGGGCGTGCCGCCCCTCTATGCCTGCTGAGGGCTCAGAGGCAAGGGGAGACGGGGAGCTTGAGTTTAGGGTTTCTAGTGGCTCATCCCTAAGGGGACGCCAGTGCCGACATGGGGTGTCAGTGTCTCTGATCTCCCAGCCTCAGCGGCCTCTTCTGCTCAGTTGGGGGATGCAAGGCCAGTGGGGCAGGTGGTCACTGAGCTGCTTTCCTGGACTTGATGGGCCTCCCTCCTTATAGCAATGGTCAGCCAGGGGTCAGTCAGGCCAGTGGCATAGGCCCTTCCATGGGCAGGGCATTCCTTGTCACTGAATGCACCTGTCACCTCCTTTCTTGGCAGCTGATGATGTGGACTTGGCAACAGCAGGAGGAGAACACATGTCCATTGCAGAGGGCAGCGGAGAGGCCTGCGGACACACCTAGTGAGGGACAGCAAGGCCACAGCCTTGCACTGGGACATTCCTGCTCAATGCACTGCCCCGGCACTGATCAGGAGGGGATACCAGACAAACCCAACCAACAGACGTCTAGGATAACAGAACAGAAAACCCCTGGAGGCCATGAAGTTGTCCCAGACCATGAGAGAGGAAGGAGGAGTGACAGCCACAGGTGCTGAGCTCCTGGCAGTGCCCATTCCAGAGGCCTTGGTTGGTCTGTCTGTTGGGTACCGGTCTGCTTCTATGCGACTTCCTAGTTTTCACACTGTGGTATGTAGGGCACTAATGCTTGGGGAAGCTGGGTGAAGGGTTCATGGGAATTATTTGCATCATTTCTGTGATACTTTTGTAAGTCTAATATAATTTCAAAATTCCAAATAAAGTAAAAAAACATGAAATGTGCTGTGACTTTCACAATAATCACATAAGGTTCCCGTGACCATCTCACAAGTTGCAAACGGCAAAATGAAACCAAGATGCAGGTAGTCCACCAGACGGGTATTTCTGGAAAGCTTAGAGAATGAGGTTCCACGTTAACTTCACTTCTAACGAAGTCTGAGCCATCGTGGATGTGTCTGTCCTAGTGACCTCCCCACTGTGGGTGTGGGGCACAGAGGGCTGGGCAGGGTGCTCCCCAGAAGGATTCTGGGGTTTATTACTATCTCTCTGCAGAAATGCAGCATTCTTCTCCGCCCCAATTCTGGTGAGTGGACAGTTCCACTACACTTGAGATGCGATGGCATCAATGGATACTGAGGATGTCCAAGAGCTGCAGGATTCACAGTGGACCTGTGGGAGGCCTGGGAGGATGGGGTGGACACTGGCCTGTCAGTGTGGAGCCGTCAGCATGAGGCTTCTGTGCAATAGAGCCTCCTCCCCACCCCCTCAGGAAAAGAGTTGTAGAGACACCTTTAATATATTTAAGGTCCTAGAGGATTGATTGACAGTACCTTTGTCTGGACCATGCCGGGCCTCTGGTCCCTCAAGTGCTCCAGGGTGGCTGCGATATCAATCTCTTTAGCACCTGCAACAAATCAGAAATTGGGCTGAGTGCAGAGCACAAGATAATCCACGCTCCATCTGTCAATCTCCTCTGTCGAGGTTCCCTTTGGGCTAAGAGGCCAATTGAAAATTATTACCCCCACCCCCAAGCAGGCTTTGCAGCAGCTGCAATTTCAGGTTCATATAGAAAAGCGAAGCCAGGCAGCTTTCATTAGCATTAATTCAAGGGAGTGGGGCTGAAAAACTGTCATGAGATGCCGCCATAGATACTTCCCAACAGCAAGCCATCACTGCTGGAAACTAAAGCTTTACTAGGGTTGTTTCTGTGGCATTTTAAAGAATTTTTTAAACCATAACAAACCGTATATAAGCTTTCATTTGATCACATAGGATTTTTTAATTTAAAGACATGAAAAAATTAGACTAATTTAGATTAATTGGATTAAACATCAATATTGGCTTTTAAATGTAGACTCCCTGTCTTTTAAAATTGAGTGATCTGAATTTTGAGAAAAGATAATCAGGCCAGTGGCCGTATTCTGAGGGCAGCAGTTCCCTCGGGACGGCGTCCTCCTCAGAGAGCAGGTGCCTCGCCTGTGTGCAAACATCACCTGAGCTCTGAAGTCTAACCTTGCCATTGATCAGCCCACGTCGCTCAGTCCTTCAGTGCTACGGTCCCCACCCCGGGTCTGTGGCCCGGTACCACCTGAGCTCCGCCTTCTGTCCCCTGCCCCGTCCCTGTCTGTGGAAAACTTTGTCTTCTAGGAAACTGGCCACTGGTGCCAAAAATTTTGGGGACTGTGCTTTAGTAGATAAGCAAGATAGGACCCAACCTCTCTGCTTGCTACAGTTTAGAGGGGGGACAGGACCTGTGCGAGGGGCCCCAGCTGTGCAAGGCCAGCAGTCCTTGGAGCAGGGTGGGAGGTGTGAGGCTGGTGGCCCCTGGAGTGGGGTGGGAGGTGCGAGGCCAGCGGCCCTGGAGCGGGGTGGGAGGTGTGAGGCCAGCAGCCCTGGAGCGGGGTGGGAGGTGTGAGGCCAGCAGCCCTGGAGCGGGGCGGGAGGTGTGGGGCCAGAGGCCCTGGAGCGGGGCGAGAGGTGTGGGGCCAGAGGCCCTGGAGCGGGGCGGGAGGTGTGGGGCCAGTGGCCCTGGAGCGGGGTGGGAGGTGTGGGGCCAGTGGCCCTGGAGCGGGGCGGGAGGTGTGGGGCCAGTGGCCCTGGAGCGGGGCGGGAGGTGTGGGGCCAGTGGCCCTGGAGTGGGGTGGGAGGTGTGGGGCCAGTGGCCCTGGAGTGGGGTGGGAGGTGTGAGGCCAGCGGCCCTGGAGCGGGGTGGGAAGTGTGGGGCGGGAGGTGCCAGGCGTGCCAGGCAGTGTTTCATCTCACTTCTACCAGAACCGCATGAAGTGAGGACTGTGACCCCCAACCCCGCTGTGGATGAAGCCCTGACACATCCAGGTCCAGTGGCTTGTTCAAGGCTACCCAGATGGGAGAAGGGCCCAGGCCTTCAACCCTGGGGCACACCAAGGGATGGTGGGGGCTATGGGGTACCCTGGGGAGCAGCCCCACTCAAGTGGCCACAGGGAGCAGCCTGGCCTTTTCTGCCCCGACCTGAGTGTGTGGAGTGATTTCTGGTTGCGGCCACAGGCAAGTGACCGTGAACACCTGCAGGCTGCTCTTGTCCCTCACCCAGCATTTCTGTGGCCTTACTGGGTGGCACCAAAAAACCAGTGACCAGGTGCTGCCCATTGCTGCAGAGGGGGAGGGTCTCAGTTCAGAGCTGCTGGCAGCTGGAAGGAAAGGTGGGGTGGCTGGGGTGCTGGGGAGGAAATCCTTGGAACCAAATGTCACATTTGCATGAAGGGAAAACAAAATCAACAGCAAGGAGAGTGTGGCAGTCGGGACTGCAGAGCATCCTGCTGCCTCCCCCCACGTGTGCCCACATCCCTGGGGCGCAGGTGCAGGCAGCACAGGCTGCCGGGACGGCACTCCTTGGCACTGGGCACCCATGACAGGATGTCACCCATGGCTGAGCTGACAGCACCTCTAGGTCCCCTCCCCAGGGAAGGAATAGCATCCTTCGGGGCCTGGGAGCAGCCTGGACACCCACCTACCTCTCTTAACAGCAAAGGAGCTCTCCCCTTGGGACACTGACATCCCTGGGGAGCCTGTCCAGAGAGGCGGAGGAGCGACAGCTGGTGGGCCCGGCTGCTGCTCTGCAGGGGCAGAAGGTCTCAGAAGCTGACATGGCCACAGTAAATACAATGTCTTTTTTTTTTTTTGAGACAGAGTCTCACTCTGTCGCCCTGGGTAGAGTGCCCTAGTGTCAGAACTCACAGCAACATCAAACTCTTGGGCTTAAGCAATTCTCTTGCCTCAGCCTCCCAAGTAGCTAGGACTACAGGTGCCCACCAAAAGGCCCGGCTATTTTTGGTTGTTGTTGTTACTGTTGTTTGGCAGGCCCGGGCTGGGTTCAAACCTGTTAGCCCGGTGTATGTGGCTGGCGCCCTAGCTGCTGAGCTACAGGTGCTGAGCCTAAATACAATGTCTTAAAGGAAATCTATGAAGTTAAAACAATCTGAAACCAGTGAAGGTGTTTGTTAAATGTGTAAATCAGGGGCAAGGAGGCTGGAGTGGCCTCCTAGGCAGCATCACCGAGGGGTAGCACGAGGACCCTCTCCTCATCCTTCTGCAGAATTAGAGTAACAACCGTACAAAGAGCTCAGCTTCTCCAACCAACATTCTGCCTTAGGAAAGTCAAGGCCTGCGTAAAGGCCTGAGCTCCAGGCCTTTGGCTTGAAGCTTCGTCCCTCAGCGACCCTACCACAGATGCCCACTGTGTCCGCCATGGCGACGATGGCACCTTTTGGAAGGAGCTCTGGCTTTTGGACACACAATACACAGAACTTTTGCGCAACTTAATTTTAAGTGTGAAAATGTCACAGCTGTAGACAGAGAGTAGGGATGTTGCAGTTTGCCCCGTCCACCTTTCAGGCATCTCAAGTCGGCCGTAGTCTGAAGCTAGTGTGGCTCTTACAAAATTATCCAGAATAAACATCAGGACTTGTGCCTGTTAACCATGGTGAGTGAAAAACAACCATCCCACTAAATGGTGTGTGACAGAGATTGACGACAGGGAGATCGCCCTGCTGCTGGCCATCTGCCCCTCGTTTAGGAGGGGTCATTCTGCTCAACTGTTGGAATTAATAATTGTTCATAAACTGGGAAACGTACAGTGAGCCACACCATGGGGTCTCGTAACTGCTCACTGCCGTTGTAGGATCATCTGCCGCGTGGGTGTCACAGCCTGACAGGGCCTGCAGGGGACCAGCCCCACACTGAGGGCAGGTGGGCTGGCGGCTGCTTCCCCTGGCATGTCCCCCCTGGACATGCCCTGCACCCTGCAGGGGTTAGAGGGTTCACTCTGGTCAACAAAACTTCTCAGGCTGGTCTTTTTTTTCCAAGGTAGGTACAAGACAGGAGCCGAGAGCAAGAGTAGGATATGTTTGCCAGAGACGGACATACAACGGACAGCCCTGTTGTATGAAGAGGCCAGAACTGATGGCTCGTGAGTAATTAAAAATATAAAATATCTATCAGCTTTTTGGACATTTTTCCAAAACAGAAATCTACTGGTTCAACACAGGAATGCTGGGCTGCAATCAGGTGTTGGCTGGGCTGGGCTACATGGAAAACTCGGGCTCCTGCACCCTGTGCATGGGGACCCTGTCATTCTCTGCCAGGCAGGGTGCTGTCCCTGCTTCAGAGGGTCTAGGGGGATCCAGGGAGATATCTGTGAGTGTGACATCATTCACAGCATGTCAGACGCTGGGCTGTTTCAGATTCACAAGTCACAGTCTCGGGAGACGCCTCTGACAAGGCTCCACAGTGATGGCTGTGCCCAACTCAGGAGCCCGAGTTTCAGAGAGCTGGACAAGGCAGAGACAGGCTGGTCCACGGAGGGAGCCTGAGTCCTTCCCCCGCAGCGCTGAGGGCTCCTCTGGGACACACACCAGTGAAGCTTATCTCGGTTTGGGCTGCTCGGGGGACTTTGTTTTAGGCCCTGAAAAGGATTTTAAATAAACAACTTTCCAAGGCTATTTAATCCTGAAAGGCTTTCTGTATCATAAAACTGGTATGAAAGCTTCACCCTTACAGTCATGGGCTATAGCCTTCTCATGAGTTCCAGGGGGGCACACAGCCACCCAGAGCTGTGACCGGTGCTGGCTGGAGGCGGCGGTAACTGCGCCCCGTGTGTCCCAGGGCTGCTGCGTGACCCTCTGACGAAACACTACAAATAAAATCTCTTTCTCATTTGACTTCTTTGTAAAACCCTTTGCACTACTGTTCCTGAGTGAGAGTGAGAAGATGGAAGGAGAACCCGTGGTGGGTTAGCCCCAGACAAGGGATTTAAAATATACACCAAGGTAAGGGAGGTGGCTCAGAAGTGTACTTAGCCTGAAACCAAAATTGAACATTGGAAGAAATTAAATTAATCCTTTAAAAAGCACACAGCACTGAGCTTAGGTACGTAACGGGTTCATTAGGAAAAGTGGCTTGTCTAGTGTGGGGGTTCACGTCCTCCTCACCGGGGATGGAGAAGAACCAGTCATTTGGAGTGTGAGAGAGCAGTGGGGCACACCTGGGTTGTCCTGTCACAGTTCAAGAGGCTCTGGGGGAGAGGCCGGCAGCAGGCCAGTGCTGGACACTGTTCCACGGCCTCCCCAGCTCCATGGGGTGCACAGGGCACCAACACGGCATCTGCAGGGTAGGGTTGGCACGTGTAAAGGATTTATCTAACATCTCTAATATAGAGAAAGCTCCTTCTAGTGCAGCTAAAATAGAAATCTCTCTTGAAAAATCCAATTTTGCTGATGACATGAAGGTTCTGGGTGAGTAAGACCTACTGGGTGTGATGCTTAAGTCAAATAGTGCGTGAACAGTCAGATCAAGGAACACACAGTGTGACCCCGCCAGGGAGCTCTGGGTGTGCTCTGAGGAGCATCATGATCATGGCTACACCAGAGA